GGGATGGCCACGCCGCAATCCCTTCTCCTCCATTCTCCTCTCGGGATCTTGGGCATGCACGCACACGCGCCCGGCGTGGGTTTAAGCCACCGGGTCTGGGACTCGAACCATGGTCAACTACATGGGAGTCCAGCGACATAGCCATTATGCTAACTGCTGGTCCCATTAAATTAAATTGTTTTTAATTTGATCACAGAAAGTAAATGTAACCACAGGTCGACCATGCGGGAGTCCAGCGCCTTAATCACCACACCACCTACAGGCCCTGACATTGTAATTTTTTAAAAAAGAAAAGTAATAACTACTCATTAAAGAAAAATTTGGAAGGAACAGTGAAGTAAAACAAAGGGGAAATAAAATTCATAGTGTTTTGGGCCAGCCATGTGGCGTTGTGGTTAAGATGACTGAATCTCTCATGGCTGACTGTGTGGTTCAAGTCCCAAACCTGGTGACTTGAGAAACAAGCCAGGCACATTTGTGTGTGTGCCCAAAACCCCAATTGGAGAGTGGAGGAGAAGGGATTGCTTCTTTGGGTTTATTTTTTTCTCACTTTCTCTCTTGTTCCCTCTTTGTGTCTCTCTGGCAAGTGCATGTGCCCTTGTAGCAACTTAAAACAAAACAAAACAAACAAACAAACAAACAAACAAATAAACCTGGGACCAGCAGGTAGTGTAACGGTTACGTCGCTGGACTCCCATGTAGTTGACCTCAGTCTGAGTCCTGGATCTGGTGACTTATGCCAGGCATGTGTGTGTGTGTGTGCCCAAAATCCTGAGAGGAGAATGGAGGAGACAGGTTTGTGGCTTGACCATCCATGTAGAGGGTGATTTCTCACTTTCTATCTCTCCAGTGAGTACATGTACCCGATAGCAAACATCTTTCTCTTAAAAACAAAAATTGTTTTGCCCGAACACATGCCATGTTAATATCTGGATACATTTTTTTTCTTTCCAGGCATAGGTTTACATGTTTGTTTATTTATTTTTTTATAATCCCAACTGTACCATGTAATACCATTTTGTAGTAATCTTTACAAAATCTATTTTTTAAGAATTCTCGTTATTCCATACTTTCTGTGAGATAATTTTTAATGGCTAAATAATGTTCTATTAGATGCCTGTATCACAGTTAAACCATTACCTCTGGACATTTACCCAGTTCTAATTTTTTTTCTCTTATAATAACACTATGATGAAGGGATCAGCAGTTGGCGTAATAGCTATGTTGTTGGATTCCCATGTAGTCGACTGTAGTTTGAATCCTGGACTCGGTGGCTTAAACTCATGCCAGGTGCGTGTGTGTAGGTGCCCAAGATCCTGAGAGGAAAATGGAGGAGAAGGGATTGTGGTGTGGCCACCCCCCCGTGGAGGGTGATTTCTCGCTTTCTATCTCTCTGTCTCTCTGTCTTCTGGCAAGCGCACGTGCCTTATAGCAAAAAACCTCTAAAAAAATAACACTATGATGAATATTTCAAATAAAAAATGCTTTTGAAATACTTAATATTTCCTAAAATAAATTCCTGTACATGGAGTTACTCAATGTAAGAGTAAAGAAAATTTCTAATTTCTTTTTTTTAAACTATTTTATTTATTCGTTTATTTACTTTAATTTGACCAGAGAGAGACAGAGTGAGAGTGAGAGAGAGAGAGAGAGAGGGCAAGTGAGAAAGCTATCCGCCAGGTCTGGAACTCAAGCAGCAGTCGACCACGTGGGAGTCCAGTGCTCTTAACCGCCACGCCACCTGCTGGCCCCAAACATTTCTAATTTCTATATATCTATTTTTTTAAAAGACTTATTTATTTATTTAATTCCATTTGTTGTTATTATTATTATTATTATTTTAAATTTGATCAGAGACAGAGAAAGAAAAGCAAGAAGGCAAGCTGCCAGGTCCAGGACTCAAACCACAGTTGGTCATGTGGTAGTCCAGCACCTCACTCGCCATGCCACCTGCCGGCTCCTCTTTGTATCTTTTATTACACAATGCCAAGCTTCTTTCTAAATAGATTGTACTTTTTTAAAAAATATTTTTTACTTTTAAGGTTTGCTATATATATAGGGCACATGCTCCAGAGAGAGACACGGTGAGAAAGTGAGAAATCACCTCCCACGCAAGATAGGCATGCCTCAACTCTTTCTTCACTCTTCTCTCAGGATTTCAGGCACATAGGCACACGAGCCCAGAGTGATTTACTAAGCCAGTGGGTCTGGGCCTCCAACTGCACAGTCAACCATGTGGGAGCCAGCCCCCTCAACATCCATGTCACCAGCTGGCCTAGGATTAACCAACAACAAACCCTTTCAACAAACGCCTCAAATCAAGAACAGCTCTGCTAGGTGTCATCATTTTAGCAAGAGTTTTTAAAAACTAATAGGCAATCAATGAAGTCTTTTCTATCTTTACTTGTATTTCTAGATTTGAAGCAAAACTGAGCATTTTTTAAATTTGATTTGTCTCTTTTGTGATATTACGTTCTGTTCATACCCTTTTGTCTATTTATTTATTGAGGTCTTAGTATTTTTCTAATTGGTTCATCCCTGTTTGTGTACATAGGGAAGGTTTTAGTTTACTGTGTATGACTTTTTTTGACCTGGAAACTTTAAAACTGATTTCTCTTTATCTTCTAGAAATATTGGGGAAAGATGGGGTGACTTCTCAAGTTCACTGAGCTGTATGAGTTGTCATTATCGTTTTTATTTTTATGTTTTTAGTTTTTGATATAGGGCACACATGCTAGCCAGAGATAGAGGGAGACAGAAAGTGAAAGTGAGAAAGAATTCCCCCCAGAAGGGGATGGCCACACCATAATAACTCCTTCTCCTCCATTCTCTTGTCAGGATTTTGGGCACACATGTTACATGCACCCAGAGTGTTTTTCAAATTGCTGGGTTCAGGATTCAAACCGTGCAGCCAGCTATGGGGGATACAACTGCTTTAACCACCATATCATCTGCTGGCCCTGATGAGCTGTACCTTCTTTTCTTTTTAGAGGTTTTTGCCTTAGCACACATGCATTTGCAGGAGAGAGAGAGACAGTGAGAGAGAAAGGGAGAGTGATAAATCACCCCCTCTCAGGGGATGACCACACCACAATCCTTTCTCCTCCATTCTCCTTGTGGGATCCTGGGCGCGCACACACACACACACGGTGGGAGTTTCAAGCCACCGGGTCTGGGATTCAAACCGCAGTTGGCCATGTGGGAATCCAGTGGTGTAATTGCTACACCATCTGCTGGCCCGAACTGTATGTTCTTAGTTAGTTTTCTTTTCTTTACTTTCTTTTCTTTTTTTTTTTTAGGAGTCATTTTCTTTAACTTTATTTATTTTAATTTAACCAGAGAGGGACAAAGTGAGAGTGAGAGAGAGAAAGGAGAGAGAGAGAAAGTGAGAAAGCAAGCCACCAGGTTTGGGACTTGAACCACGGTTGGCCACATGGGAACCTAGCACCCCCAACCACTTTGCCAATGGCCAGCCCCAGCTAGTTTTCTTAATTTATTTCACAGAGTTCTACAGTTAAATTCTTTTTTTTTTTTTTTTTTTTAATTTCATTCATTCACCAAATAAAGGCATAAAGAGGAAGGAGGTAAAGTGAGAAATCATTCCCCAGGGGAGATGGCTATGCCACAATCTCTTTTTCCTCCCTTCTCTTCCTGGGATTTTGGGCATGCATACACACACGCCTGGCATGAATTTCAAGCTGCCAGGTTTGGGACTCAAACCATGGTCCGCTATATGGGAGTCCAACGCCTTAACCACCATGCCACCTGCTGGTCCTGCTCTTATTCACTTTTACCTTTGAGGCTGAGGGTTTGCTTGGTAATGTATTACATTTGCATCTTCCAAACCACAGGCATCAATGACTGTCTTGGGAAGATAACGTAACATAGTTTTTCTGTTCTTTTTTTTTTTTTTATACTTGGAGGCAAGAAGATCTTACTGTCTTATTTATTCAGAGACCCATCATTCAGTGCATCCTCAGCCTTCTCCTCACTGTTCTGAGTCTGTGTATTTCTCCTCAGTCCCCACCTCCTCGCATGGGATTTGAATGGAAGAAATGTCTTGTCCTAATACCCCTAACTACTTTGGCTCTCTGCTCTCCCTCTGTAGAAGCCCCTTTTCCTCTCCCGAGCGGCACTGACAGGACTGGCGGGCGCCGTGTGGACAGAGGAGCACGATGCTGTTCTGGAACACTTTGCCCAGGACCCTACAGAATCCATCCTCACCATCTTCGTCGACCCCTGTTTTGGGCTGAAGCTAGATCTGGGCATGCCTATACAGGTACGTGCCCTGCGTTCCCAGCTCGTAGGTGGTCTGAACAAGAGCTGAAGGCTCTGCACGTCTCCATCTGCCTTGAGCCTTGTTACCTCCTGTGACTGAGGCCTGTTGAGTCCCACTGTGTGCCAGGCACCCAGCTTGATGGCAAGGATACAGAGAAAGATGAGGCAAGGTTTTGCGTTAATGATACCGTAGTCTAGCAGGGAAGATGCATGGCCTAAGCTTTATGGAAACAACTAGCTGAGCCGCGGAAATCTGATAAGGCATGATGGTGGAGGTGATATTTGAGCTGAGGCTGAAGGGTAAGTAGGAGCTCATCAAGAATAGGTCAAAAGGGTCAGCAGGTGGCATGGTGATTAAAGCAGCTGGATCCCACATGGCCAGCTTCACAGTTCAAATCCTGGACATGGTAGCTTGAAAATCATGCCAGGCACATAGGTGTGTATGCGTGCCCAAAATCCCACGAGGAGGTGGGGGGCGGAGTGATTGCGACGTGGCCTATTTCTCACTTTCTCTCTCTCTCTGTCTCTCTCTGGCGAGTGCACATGCCCTATAGCAAAACCAAAAGGAGAAAAAAAAAAAGAGAGAGAGAGAGAGGGAATAGGTAGGAGTTACTAAGTAGAAAACACCATATGTACAAAGAAAAGGAGAGTAGTGGAAAAGATTTTGAAAGGGTAGGTTGGAGTTAGCTTGTGAACGGGCTTGTATGTTACACTAAAGAATTTGGCCTGTATCCCAGAGAGAGCTATTGAAGTTATTTATGGTTTAGAGATAACTTTTCAGCTATGTGGAGGATACATTGGGAAAGAGGGTAGGGAGATAGGTAAACCACAGATGTATAGTAAATTGTTAGAGGTAGGAGCCGGGTGGTGGGTGTACAGTTCGTCATTGTAAAATTTATTTAACTTTTCTGTGTATTTGAACAATTCCGCAATAAAATGTTGAAAAATAAAAAGGCTATGTTTTGTCTTGTTAGCAGCACATATACAAAAATTGAAATGATCGTGAAAACGAGCTGCCCTGTGGGACAGTGACACGACTTGCGAAGCAGTCCATGTTAAACGCTAGCAAGACAGGCCATGGCTTTTTCTTGTGTATTGGCCAAAATCAGCCACAAAATATGAAAAAAAGACTTCACTCACAAAAGGAACAAAAATTTGCAAAACATATTTATATTTGAATTTAAGTATTTAATATAGAAGTGAGATATGTGAAAGGAAACAACTTTGTTGTAGCGACAAAAGAAAATTTGAATCAATGGTGAGACATATCCTGTTTCTGAGTAAGAATCTTTTTTTTTTTTTTTTTTTTTGCCATAGGGCATGTACATTTGCCAGAGAGACAGAGAAAGACATTGAGAGGAAAAGTAAAAAAATAACCCCCCCCTTCCCCAGAGGGATAGCCATACTGCAGTCCCTTCTCCAGTCTCCTCCTGGGATTTTAGGTGCACATGCACACACATCTGGCGTGAGTTTCAAGCTACCAGGTCCAGGATTTGTACTGTGGTCAGCCACGTGGGAGTCCAGCACCTTAACCAGGGCACCACCTGCTGTCCCCCCTTTTTAAAAAATTTGTCAGAAGGCACATGTACTCTCTAGAGATAGAGAGACAGAGAAACAGAAAGCAAGGCAGAGAGAAAGGAGAAAACACCCAACAGAGCATAGCCATGCCTCAGTCCCTTCTCCATTTCTTCTTTCTTTTGGAATTTTGGGCATGCACGCATGCATGCCCAGTATGTTTCTCCAGCTGCCAGGTCCGAGACTTGAACCACAGTGAGCCATGTGGAATCCAGCTATCTTAACCACCAGGCTATAGAGTCCTGGACCTGAATGGGAATCTTTCAAAAAATGCTTTTTTCTTTGTTTGTGATAGAGCACATACATGTGCACGTGAGAGTGAGAAAGAGAGAAGGTGAGTACTCTCCAAAGGATCTGGTCATGCCACGATCCCCTTCCTCCCATGCTGTCAGCTCTTGGGCGCTCGCGTGTGTCTGGCATGTTTCAGGCTGACTGACCTAGGGATTTGAACCCTAGTTGCCATGTGGAATCCAGCTTCTTAAGCAATGCATTAACATTGTGCCATGTAGCTGCCTCCTAAGTAGGAATCTTAATATTACAAAGATGACCTTGTCTTTCAAAAAATATCATTTTAATACAGTTTCAATCATAGTGCCCACTGCCACAATCTCTAGCTTCCTTGTGTAAAGTATTTAAAAATATATACAGGAAGGGCCTGTGGGTGACATGGAAGTTAAGGGGGCTGGATCTCATATGGTCAGTAGTTCAAATCCCAGACCTGGTGGCTTGAAAAACATGCTCTGGGGAACCAGCAGTTAGCGTAATGGCTATGTCGCTGAACTTCCACGTAGTCGACCGCGGTTTGTGTCCCAGACCTGGTGGCTTAAAACTCATGCTGGGCGCATGTGCGTGCGTGCCCAAGATCCTGAGAGGAGAATGGAGGAGAAGGGATTGCAGCGTGACCATCCCCCCGGGAGGTGATTTCTCGCTTTCTGTCTCTATGTCTCTCTCTGTCTGTCTGGCGAGCACACACACCCTATAGCGAAACTCTCTCTCAAAAAAAAAAAAAAAAGAAAAACATGCTCTGTATGCATGCCTAAAATCTGAAGAGGAGAATGGAGGAGAAGGGATTGCAGAGTGGCCATCCTCCCTGGGGGGTGATTTCTCACTTTCCCCCTCTCTCTCTGTCCTGGTGAACACACACGACCTATATGGAAACTAAAAAAAAGCAAACAGCTGTATATGTGTTTATACACACACACACACACACACACACACACACACACAGAGAAAAATGTATGAAAATAGCAAAGATAATGATGAAGGAGACTAATGGAGGAGACTTATGAATATGATAAACTTTCATTAAACTACAGTAATTAAAACAGTTTACTGGAACAGGAATATACTTTATAAGCCACAGTACAGAAACATAGGAAATACAGAAAATAGAAAGTACAGAAACAGATATGTAAGCATTTTCTATAAAAGTGGCAATTTTAAAATCTAGGAGGAAGAATGGATTATTCAATGACTAAAACTGGGAAACATATGGATTATAAAGTTTTTCTCTTTTCCTTTTCTTTGCTAGAGGGCACGTGCACTCACCAGAGAGACAAAAGGCAGGGAGGGGAGAAAGCCACCTTCATAGGGTGTGATTGCGCTGTAATTCCTTCTCCCTTTCTTCCCCTTTTGGGGATATTGAGCACACAGGCACGTGTGCCTGGCATGTTTTTTAAGCCTCCAGGTCCAGGACTCCAATCACTCAATCAGCTATGTGGAATCCAGCTGGCTTAACCATCAGGCCATAGAGTCAGCCATGTCGAAATACATTCTAAATAGATTACAGACTCAATTGTATTCTCCTGGGTTAAGATGACTAATAGACAACTGAGATTTGAACCCTGGCCCCAGTAGCCTGAAAACACCCTGAACACGTGTATGCCTAAAATCTTAACAGGAGAAAGGATTGCTACATGACCACCATCCCATTGGGGGGACTTACTCCCTCTACCCCTTTCTCTCCATATCTCTGTCTTACTCTGCAGAGGGCATGCATCCTTTGGCCAAAAACAAAAAGATGGCCAATAGAAACTTCTTTTAAAAATTATTATCTTTCAGGGGACCAGTAGTTAGCGTAATGGCTATGTCGTTGGACTCCCGTGTAGTCGACTGCGATTCACGTCCCGGACCCGGTGGCTTAAAACTCACGCTGGGTGCGTGTGCATGTGTGCCCAAGATCCTGAGAGGAGAATGAAGGAGAAGGGATTGTGGCGTGACCATCCCCCCTGGGGGGTGATTTCTCGCTTTCTGTCTCTCTGTCTCTCTCTGTCTTTCTGGCGAGCGCACACACCCTATAGCAAAAACCTCTAAAAAAAATATATATATATATATATATATATTACCTTTTGGACCACCAGATGGCATAATAGTTATGTCTCTGAACTCCCACATAGTCGACCATGGTTTGAGTCCTGGATCCAGCAGCTTAAAACTCCTCCCTGGTCTATGTGTGCGCATACCCAAAATCCCAAGAGGACAATGTAGGAGAAGGGATTGCAGTGTTGCTAACCCCTCTGGGGGGGTGATTTCTTGCTTTCTGTCTCTGTCTCTGGCAAGTACATGCGCCCTATAGCAAAAATCTCTCTAAAAATGAAATTATTACCTTTGGGAGTCTCTTCCTCTCTGGACTTGGGCATAGTTGGTGGCAACATGGCTAAAGGCACCAAGAAGATTGGCATTGTGGATAAATATGGGGCTGACTACGGTCCCTTCCTCCAGAAAATGGTGAAGAAAATTGAAATCAGCCAGCATGCCAAGTGCACTTGCTCCTGTGGTAAAACTGAGATGAAGAGACAGGCTGTGGGGATCTGGCACTGTGGTTCCTGCCTAAGAACAGTAGCTGGTGGTGCCTGGACCTTCACCACCACTTCGGCTGTCACAGTAAAGTCCACCATCAGAGGACTGAGGAATTGAAAGACCAGTAGAAGCTCCATAGACCTTTGGAATATCACTAACCTACAATAAATGGGTTAATTTATGTAAAGACAACAACAAAAATTATGACCTTAGGGCCAGCAGGTGGTATGGGGTAGTTAAGATGCTGGATCCCTTGTGGCCAACTCCCTAGTTAGAGTCTCAGACCTGGCAGCTTGTAAAACACGCCACGTGTGTGCCCAAATTCCAGAGAGAAGGGAGGAGGAGGGATTGCAGTGTGGCTACCCTCAATGTGAGGTGATTTCTCATTTCCTCTCTCTCTCTCTGGTGCATGTGCCCTATGAAAAAGAATCTTAAAACAGCAACAACAACAAAAACCAACAACAACCCTTGAAGACCAGCCTTGCAGCATAGCAGTTAAGCACGACACAGAGGAATCTGGCTTCCACATGGCCGACCAGGATTCGAGTCACAGCCTGTCAGCCTGAAAAACACATCGGGAGCCATAGGTGTATGCCAAAGATCCTAATGGAGTGGAAATTGGAGGAA